TGGTTTTATAATGAATATGTGCGAGAACTTCCTGCCTTCAAGGATGCCATTCCTGAATACTCCTTGTAAGTAGTGATTTTCAACCCCGAGTTTGTTCTCAATTCAAAGTCCCACATAATTACACCTGATTTATGCAGCCCTGAAATCTGTTCATGTAGTTGTCTTCTGAATACAGACATGTCTATTATAACATTAACATTAAATGATTCGCAGGTCTTTGGGAACCATATTTAATTGAATTGTGTTGTATTCTTCAAGTATGTCTTACTTGGCTATTACTAAACTCAAAAGAGAAAGAAATACATGACAGGATGTGGCTCACATGATGAAATTAATTTCTGTGAAAGTGCTTGAACTCAGATGTTCTTGGGAAAATGAGGATGCTTGTAGTGGGTGGAGCAAAAGTAGGTTTACAGTTGTTTATCTAAAAAATAATACAATAATTAATAAACAATAATACAAGAATAAACTGTGTTTCTTGACCTCACTACTTTTGCCCAACTCTGTATATTGAGCTATACAATCAGATGTTTTTCTTTAATTCAACCTGAAGAATGTGTTAGAAATTAAAATTGAAGCCATTATTAAACAGGTAACATTTTCATAAACATATCTCTATCAAATACATTTGTAATCACACAATCAGACTTGTAATACTATGCATTGATATTTATCAGAATTCTATTTTATTCCATCAAGGGAGGTCTTCCATATGCCAGGCACTGTGCAAAGTGCTATACGTTTATTTGTTGAGTTAGAACATAGAACACATTTTTGTTTGTAATCCTCACCCAAGGATAAGTTTTTATTGATTTTTAGAGAGAGAGGAAGGGAGAGAAAGAGAGAGTGAGAAACGTCATTGTGGGAGTAAAACACGGATTGGTTGCGTCCCATAGATGCCCCAACTGGGGGGTCGAACCTACAACCTAGGTATGTGCTCTCACTAGGAATCAAACTCTCTAAACCCTTTGGTGTACCGGGACAATGCTACAACCAACTGAGCCACTAGGCCAGGGCCACAACACATTTATACAGCAGTTTATAAGTTTAGTTTAGAAATCATAAGTATTTAGGTCTACGGCATGTGGGCCTCCACTTGTGCTACTGCCTTTGCAAATGTGATGGGTGAGCCTGACGTAATGTATTACTCTTCCAATGTTTGCACATTAACTGAATCTTGAAGGGAAGGGTAACCCCGTTCCATTGAATACCAAAAATGTTTGAGGTCATGTGTGAGGTACTGGGGATATAAAAATGTGCATAGAGCTTTAGGAGGAAGGGTAACATGCAACACCATGGTATGTGCCATGATTTGATATGTCCCTTGAGGGGAAGAATTTAGCCCAACTTTGTCCTTTTAGTGGACAAGTCATAACAGTGGATAAATGATTTGCTGTTAGTGGTTTAGTGCAAGGCACATATGAGTAAAATTATAGAGGTCTAATATACAAAAAATTGGACCCCCAAAAAAATAATGTCCCTTGAGGGGAAGAATTTAGCCCAACTTGTCTTTTTAGTGGAGAGGTCATAATAGTGGATAAATGATTTGCTGTTAATGGTTTAGTGCAAGGCATATATGAGTAAAGTTATAGAGGTCTAATATACAAAAAATTGGACCCCCAAAAAAATAGAAGAGAGAAAAAAATAATACCAGAGCAATGTTTTAAATGATACTAGGTATGAATTTTATAAAACCAATTAAAAACATGAGGCATAGCTCAAAAATTCCTGTAAATCCTAAGCAGAATAAATGCAAAGTTATAGAGGTCTAATATACAAAAAATTGGACCCCCCCAAAAAAATAGAAGAGAGAAAAAATACCAGAGCAATGTTTTAAATGATAGTAGGTATGAATTTTATAAAACCAATTAAAAACATGAAACTACCTATAGGTACATCATAGAAAACTGCTTAAAAACAAGAAGAAAATCTTTAAATGTATTGGGGGTCAAGAAAGGGGAAACACTTTACCAGAGCTACTATACTCTTGACTGACTGTTGAGAGTGACTAAATGAGAATGACTAAAACCAGAATATAATGCACTGATATCTTTTAAGTGCTGAAGAGAGAAAGTCAACTTAGAATTCTACAAGTATCAAAACTAAAGCAAAATAAAGACACTGACCTAACTGAGAATCTGAAATAACCCATTTCCAGCTAACTCTCACCAAAAATGTATACTAGGAACCATGCTTCAGATAGAAGGAAAAATGACACAAAATATAATTACAGCAATGTAGCAAAGAATAAAAAGCATTTATTGTTGTAGACTAAAGAGATATAGAAAGAGAGATTGAAAGTAAAAGAGAGGGAAATGTATTTAATGAAGTAAAACTAAAGGAAGCTGAACTGGAAAAAGAAAATGAGAAGAGATTTAGGAATAGCATTCACTGCTAATGAGATGTAAATAACATTTTTATAGTTTGTAATATTAATTTTTTAGGTGGTTTGAGCCTTTTGTCATGCAGTGGCTGGATGAAAATGAAGATGTGTCAATGGAGTTTCTTCATGGCGCACTAGGAAGAGACAAAAAAGACGGAGTGAGTTTCAATTACATAAGATTGTTTATTGTCAAGATTCAGTCACACCACTCATCTTTAAGCTAATGGGAATTGTTAGGCTGTTGTTATTTATTAAAGTTTATTTTAATCCTCTAATGACCAAAATAAATTTAAAACAATTTTATGGTACATGCCCTTGACCGGAATCGAACCTGGGACCCTTCAGTCCTCAGGCTGACGCTCTATCCACTGAGCCAAACCGGTCAGGGCACTTTGAAAGCAATTTTAAAGGGCTGATCGGAACCCTAGGAAATTGCTTAAATAAAAATTAAATAAAAAATAATCAATCACCTTTTTGCCCCAAGATCCCTATTGAGTCGGTCAGAATCTACAAGTTGAACAGACTTGTACAAAACTCCCTTGTGGTCCTATAACCTTTACTAAGATGCCAAAATTATGAGCAGATGCACTCCCTGTGCCTCTGAAGCAACTCAAAAGTCTTGAACCACAGTCTGCTTGCTAAAATTATCCAAATACTTATGGGGAATGAGAAATAAACAAACTAACTAACAAAAAAAAAAAGCAGTTCCCCAATTTAGAAATGGAGAGACCAATTAATAGCAGCCTGCCCCATGATATTAGTTTCACTACATCTTCCAGAAAAGGAGATGAATAATTTAAAAATGGATAGGCACTTTATTACTGGACAATGAAAGTATGTGATATGAAGGTCCATGAGATAGGAGATTCAATTGTTTGTGTGAAACAATGAAGACTGTCTCCACGGTCCTGCTAATGTGTTTGATGGAATGGTTTCACCTTCTCCCCTCAGTTTCAGCAGACATCTGATCATGCCCTCTTCTCTTGTTCCGTGGTTGATGTGTTTGCTCAGCTTAATCAGAGCTTTGAGATTATTAAGAAACTGGAATGCCCTAACCCTGAAGCATTATCTCACTTAATGAGAAGATTCGCAAAGGTAGGTTAAGTGGAATGCATCCTTTCTTTGCTGAGACTGTGCCTTGCTATTACTTGCCTGCACAGAACCTGAATAATGTTGTTGTTTGGTAGTATATCTTCTCTGACACCGCTATCCCAACTTAATTTCTAATTCAAGTATTAAGAGATTCTGTTGTTTCAGGTTTGTCATCTTTCTTCACTTCTTGTTTCTTGAATATGGACTTATCATCTTTAAAAACATCTATGTGTTATTTAAATGAATGACTCAGTCCTTTTTAATTAAAGACATTGCCATGGATGGTCAAATTATTTCTATCTCAAGTGGGGTGCTTTAGGGCTGAAAATAAGCCTTGACATTTCATATTCAAACTGTAATTATTGTTTAGCCAACACTACGGTACACTGAAAAGTATATTGAACTTGCAGTCATGACAACTGCATTCTGATTTAATATCATTCAGTAACTGTAGTGTGGATCTAAGCAGTTCCTTTGAATTTTATGAAGTTAGTATTCTTACTTGACAGATTTATATTGATCAACCAGATTCCTCTTAAGACCTCTTATTCCTCCTAGAGTTTAAGAAGGCTCACACAATGCTTACTACTTTGCCAAGAGTTTCAGTAGAAATATAAGGAATAAAAGATGAGGTCTCCACCTTTCAAATCATATATCTACATATATGAATTGACCCCAGTACATTATATATATATATGAAATGAACTAATTGGAAGATTACATGAAGAGGGACACAAGTTGATCTCAAGTATAATGGGATCTACAGTAAGTCAAGGGTAATGAAAAATAATTAGAGCTGAAATAGCCAGAGGTTTTATGGGAAAACAGGACTCATTCAACCAAACAAGGAAGAAGTTATAGAAGTGTTCTAAGCCAAGGAAATGGCAGGAATGGAGGAAGAGGAAAAGCTGAGCTTGCCATGTAAAGAGGAAAAAACAGCTGTTCTGAGAAAAGCAGTGGGAAAGGTTGGGGGAGTGAAGATGGGTCCAGATCTTTAAGAGTCTTTCTTTCCAGGTTCAGAAATTTAGACTTTTGAACAATTTAAGAAACACTAAACATTTGGAGACTAGAGGCCCAGTGCACGAAATTCTTGCATGGGGGGAATGGGGGTTCTTCAGCCCAGCTTGCATCCTCTTGCAAAATGGGACCTCTGGGATTAGGCCTAAGCCAGCAGTCAGACATCCCTCTCCCAATTCAGGACCACTGGCTCCTAACCACTCACCTGTCTGCCTGCCTGATTGCCCCTAATTGCTTGCCTGCCTTCCTGATCACCCCTAACTGCCTCTGCCTGCCTGCCAGGTTGCCCCTAACTGCTCACCTGCCTGCCTGATCACCCCTAACCGTCTCTGCCTCAGACCCCACTGCCACAGCTTCGTCCGGAAGGATGTCCAGAAGGTCTTTTGGCTGTCCAGTCTAATTAGCATATTATGCTTTTATTGTTATAGGTTGTTATAGATACTTAAGTCGGGTAGTGATATGACTATATATATAAAAGAGTAATATGCAAATCGATTGGATGGCAGAATGACCAGAATGACCGCTCAACCAGTTGCCATGAGGCACACTGACCACTTCTCAGTCCCTCCCCACAGCTGGCAGGCTCTGATTGCCTGATGGTTAACAGTGAACCAGGGTGGTGTCGGTGAGTGGTGGAGCCAGCTGACAGCAGCTAGGGAAGATGACCCTGACCACAGACCAAGCCTAGGGACCATATCCGTGCACAAATTTCATGCACCGGGCCTCTAGTAGAATAATATGGGGGAACAACCTGCACTCCTCTGTCTTACTGTCCTAAGGATAAATCTGGCCCCCTGGGTCTGATGATAGCAGAGGTCTCAGCTGTTCATTTAAATGCTTGCTTATTCATGGCCCCACTTGCACATTTGACTAGCCCCTTTGAGAGATTAGTCATGAATAAGCATAATCTCTGACCTCAGAAAATTTATAATGAAATGCAAAACCTGTAAACAACTATGACAAAGTCAAATGCTATATAATCAGGGTATCTGAGATGTTGAAAAGAGCCCAGAACATATATATATATATATTTATCTCGAATGCTGTATTTTTCTTCTGAGTCTTCTCTAGGTTTACAGATGGCAGCCTTCTTACTGTGTCCTCACGTGGTCTTTTTTCTGTGCATATGAGCCCCTGGCTTTTCTATGTGTGTCCAAATTTTCTCTTCTTATAGGAAGGTGGTTCTCAACCTTCCTAATGCCAAGACCCTTTAATACAGTTCCTCATGTTGTGGTGACCCCCAATTTCATTGTTACAAATTGAACATAATTAAAGCATAGTGATTAATCACAAAAATAGTATGTAATTATATGTTTTTTTCTCTGATGGTCTTAGGCAACCCCTGTGAAAGGGTCGTTCGACCCCAAAGGGGTCGCGACCCACAGGTTGAGAACCGCTGTAATATAAAGACAACACTCAGATTAGATTACAGTCCACACTAATGACTTTATTTTAACAGTCACTTCTTTAAAAGACCCTACCTCCAAATACAGTCACTTTATGAGATTCTGGAGGTTAGGGTTTCAACATATGAATTTTGAGGGGAAACAATTCAACCCATAAAAGATGCATATAGTTAACATGCTTTTAGCCACAGACACAAACACAAGGGCATATAACTTCATTTGTATTCTCACAAAAAGTCTAATTCTGAAATCCTTTATGGGTGGAGAACTGAGCCTGACCAGACTCTTAGAAAACTGTAAACCTGGTTCATTAATAGAGGAATTAAGAACGCTTTCTTGGGAAACAGTTTATTAATTATGATAGGACAGTTTATGCTGAAGTATCTAGTAAACTAAGAAACTCTAAGATTTGAAACAAAGATTTAGTTCCTGCTCATACAACATCAGATATGGATTGGATAACCCTATAGAGGAGTGTTTATCAAAGATAAACAAATCCACACTCTAAAGTGGTAAGGACAGATTTTAATCAATAATATACTATGACAATAGAGAAGAGTCCAGAATGAATTTGACTCAATTTTGATTTATAAAGAGGTTACTGGGTATTTTAAAGGGAGAAAGAGGGAGTAGGGGCAGGTGGGGGCTCAGTAGCGTCAGGGTGTTGGTTCATGTAAAACCCACCTGGGTTTGCTCCCTGGTGGTTATCTAATTTAGGTTCCTACCCTCCCACAGAGGTGGGGAGACAAGGACCCAACTTCAGATTTTGGCTGCAACAGTCAATTATTTTGGCAGCCTTGCAGTTTTGCAGGCAGGCACTTTAAGGAGCTCTAGTATTTGTTCAAGTCTGTATAGGCCAAGGCTGGGGTATGGAGGAAACTGGCTAGAGTTTGGTCAAAAAAAAGAGTCTTTATCACCGCCCAACCCCACCATTCAGTGACTCCAGGGTTCTAGCCTGAGAGGTCCCAATGAAAACAGAGGATAGAATTCAGAGAGAGCAGGTGGAACTATGATTAGAGTTTTGAAGAATAGGTAAAGTGGCTGAACTTCTTTAGTAGAAAATGAAAAGCCAGTGAAAGCTTTCCAGGAGATAATCGGTCAGTCTAAACAGTATTGCATTATTTATCTGCTATGAAATATTTGTAGTTTTTATGTCTGTTAATTATGAAGACTAAAAAACCTCCAACTTTTAAAGATGATAGCTAAAAATCATTGATTGGGATCCTTCCTAGAGGGGACTTTCTTGGTAATAGCTGATTTCAATTTCCAAATATATTGAAATTTGCAGTCATTCTGCAAGAGAATTGCTCAAAGTATTCTCTGAGTAACTTTTTTCTTTTGGGTGACTGCCAAGAAAAGAATAAAATGGGGCCACCAGGGATACTGCTTTAAAAAGGTATGTCACACGCAATTCTTGGAACTGCAGGACATGCAGTGGAAGCAGGATCATATGAGAAATTAATAACCTCAGAGTTAATATATTTAGTAACATACTATTATAATTGCACATGATATTAGAAAAGTAACTAGAATTCACCCTCAGAATAGTGAGGTAGCAGGTTATGTGAGGTGAGAGAGAGAAAGAAGAAAGCTGAATTGAGACTCATAGGCCCTGGGCTCCAGCCCATCGTCCACCTCTTGGTAGCTCTGACCTTTCTCCAGCTGTAAAGCTGAACCTAACCATGTTGACACCACTGGGGATATAATGAAATGGACTGGAGGGAAGACAAAGGGGTGAGGGGGTCACGAAGAAGGTTGTATTAGAATTACATTCAGGTAAACACATTCTCCAAAGAAAAAAGAAAATAGACTCCATGTGTCACTGAGGAAATGTGAGCTTTTATTGGCACAAAAATTAATTTCAATTAAGTAACACATTTTTAATCCATGGGAATTCAATAATACCCAATTATTGTCACAAAGAAATAATGTAAACATTTTCTGGGAAAGTAAAAATTGGCAACTTTCGTTGAAAAATAGATTATATTTTATTGGAATGATTTTTTAAATCATAAAAGTAAAAATGAGATGTGATTAATCTAGTTAGCTATTTTGCAATAATTCAGGCAACTGGAGTTTATTTTATCAGATGTGATCTTTGTTCTTAACAACCCAATCTTTCTAAGGATTGGGTTCCTTGTATCAAAATATACTGAAATCATATTCTCTTTCTGGGACTTATACTGATGTAAACCATCTCTTATAATGAAGACATATTAATGATACATATATTCAGACATTTTAGAAGACTTCACACTCTAAAATGGAACTTAAATAGATAGCTTGTTCTTACTAAAGTGTGTATAAGACTGAATAAGAAGCCAAACCAATGCTTTAAAATTCATAGCAGGTACATCTAGAAGCTGTGATAAGTGGTAAAATGACATACAGGTACTGAATGTTCCTATGGCAATACTGCTGCTCTTGACAAGTATGGGTAGTTTAATGGTTAAAGAGAGAGAGAGAGGGAGAGAGAGAGAGAGAGAGAGAGAGAGAGAGAGAGAGAGAGAGAGATGAAATAATATCGTACTACTTAAAAACAAATCAACTATTAGTTGACTCATTGATCTAAGTCTGGCTGGCTGCCAGGGGCTGGAGATGCTATGGTGAACGATGCACACATATTCCTTATTCTTTGGGAACATAATTCTTATATATATATGATAATTCATTGAGTACCACTATGTACTATTCACTTTACCTATTCTGTTTCCCTTATTCTTTACAACAACCTCATGGGATAGATAATGTTATTTTCCCTATTTTTTTAAATGACAAAAAACCAGAAAGTTTAAATAACACAAACAAGGCACCCATCTATAAACACATGCATGAAATGTTTTTAACCACTCAGTTATTATACTTTCGCATTCTGTGTCATCAAAAATTGGTAAGTCATAGAGCATATTCTCACCATTTCTTTTTACCCTTTGGGTTAAACCTAGGAATCTATGGGTGGGGGTATCTTTGTTGGATGCATTAAAATATACTTTTATTAGGTCCTGAAGTGACATTCCTAATGTCACTTAACAGATACCACACAGTCTTCCTGTCTTCACTGCGTTGCTCTGATACTGTGATGTTCCATGCCTAAAATGTGACTGCAGGAATGGATTTTGGACCAGAGCTTTTATCTTACTGATTATAAGAGTAAATCTCTCGATGAAGCTACCGGTAGTGTTGACAGGCTATTTAGCCTATTCCTACTAGTGTGGCATTAGCTTAGGAGACCATAAATGACTTTGAGAAATTGATGGCCATCCCACTCAATAATACCAGAGGCTACATGTCAGATCTCAGTATATTGAAGCGTGGATATTTGAGTC